GGTCGGATCGGGTCGGATCTGATCGGGTAAGGAAAAAATTTTTGAGCTCGGGTCGGATCGGGTCACAAAAAGTGATCCGTGTCGGACACTGGTACCAGATGGTTGGATGATATTTGTCGACACGATTGTTAAACTTAGTATGCTATGCTATCCAGTCGAAGATTAATGCACAGTTACCAAAAAAAAGATAAGAGCTCCCCTCCGCGAAATTGTTCGTATGAAATTAAAGGCCAGTCCGATTCCAGTATGTTGCAGGCATTCGTTTTAACCATTTTTTGAAATAGCCGAAAAACTCAGCCATTTCTTCAGGTGAGTCATCTTCAAGAAGTTTGACAGCCTTTTCCACGTATTCAACTGAAAGAAGAGCAAGAGCTATTGCGCTTCGACATGCTAAACGTGTATCTTCATCATTAAATTATGCTGTTGAAAGACTAACTAATTGAATATATTTGTATAAGGCTTTTCAGTAGTGGAAATAATAACCATGGTGCATTGCCATGGGAAACTAGTAAAACCAAAAATGAAAATTATAAATTAAAACAGACACATACTTTTTGTTTAAATGCCTTAATTGATGATATCTCAAAGTCTGATATAACATGACGTGGTTCAAACTTCATGTTTAATCGTTCAGCATGGCATTCGAGTTCCGAAAATAGTTGTTGATATACATCAGTAGTTTTTCCTGTAAGAAGACTGAAAACACAAGGAAAATCTAAACGAGAAACATAAAGTAGAAACATTAATAATCTGTAGACTTACTCTGATGGTGTTTTAAACAATGGGTTATATTTAGTTGTTTAAACTGCAGCGGACAAGAATCAAATGTACCATCGAAAAAAATCCATTCAGATGAAAATAACGTTTCAAGTTGTTTATCAGTGGCAAATAAAATCATTCTTTTGTTTCTCATGAATCTATCAGTGCAAACAAAAGATTCACCGTTGAGCGATTGTCGATAAAAATCGGGAATATCAAAATTAATCGATGTAGGTGATAACGGAGTTGTTTTTCAGCGAATACGATTTAAACCAGATTCTGTAAATCATAAGAATACATTCAATATCATGATAGATAAATAAATTCAAAGCGTCCAGCGCCAATAGTACAAGGATTAGAGCAGTTGAAGAGAGATTAGAACGGGCTAATTCTTCTCCATAGATTTTAGGAACAGAAGTTGTTGCAGGTTGTACACTTTCCTTGACTTTGTTTTTAAGATCTCGTAGTTTGATCCGTTCAGGTACAGGCATGTGTTAATGATGACCATTAGCTTTGAGAAAATGGTCCTTTGTATTTGTATGAACGTTAGCTGGACAAGCATCCGATTGACAAATCCAGTACTTGGCTTTCGATGTGGGCTTGTTTAATCAATAAACATAACCCCGAATAAACGACCATACATTTGTCTCGATTCGAATTGATGAAAGAGATTGTTGTTGAATCAGTCATGGGTGACTAGTGAAGTAAATCAAAGGAAAGACGTGTGCATCAGAGAATAACGAAATATCACTTAAGGACAAATATATATCGATCGAGAAAGAAAAGAATAAATAAAAAAGACCACCACATCTGAAAGAGCAGAACGGGCAAGAATTGCCATTTATATATATATATGGGCGTGACCAGTCGACGTGGTACCCCAAGATATTCCCTAGACTGAAAGGCTAGGGTCTAGAAACCGTAATTCACGTGTGTCTGTATGTCCGTCTGTTTGTTTGTAACAAGAACTTGGTACAAATGACCATTTCTATGGCACAAATGACCATTTTTATGGCACAAATGACCATTTCCATGGCGCAAACGACCATTTTTATGGCACAAATGACCATTTCTATGGCACAAATGACCATTTCTGTGGCATGAATGACCATTCCCATGGCACAAATGACCATTTCTGTGGCACAAATGACCATTTCTATTGCGCAAATCATCTTTATTATGGCGCAAATCACCATTTTTATGGCACAAATGGCCATATTCGTGGTGCAAATGAGCATTCTTGTGATACAGAGTGCCATAATCGTGGTACAAGTGACGTTGTCAAGGTAAAAAATACCATAGTCGTGGTACAAGTGACCATTGTCATGGTAGAAAGTACCAATAGTCGCGGTAGACGTTGCTGTTGTCATGGTACAAAGTACCAGAGTCGTCGTACAAGTAAGAATATTGATGGCAGAAAATACCAAAGTCGTGGTACAAGTGACGATTGTGATGGTGCAAAGTATCGTTTTCATGGTAGAATTGACCGTTGTCATGGTACAAAGCACCATGGGTCGTGCTACAAATGACCATTTTTATGGTGCAAGTGACCGTTGTGATAGTACAAAGTACCATAATCGTGGTACAAGTGACTGTTGCTATAGTGCAAAGTATCGTGAGTGGTGGTAAAACTGACCATTTATTTTGGCATAATTGACCATTCTTGTGGCTCAACTCAGTTTCTACGGTGCAATCAACCATTTCTAAGGCACAGTTGATCATTCTTATCTGCGGAAGGAGCGTGTCTGTGTCACTCCTAGCTGGATCAGTATTAGAAATGATCAGTGCTATGGGATAAATAACCATTGCTAGTCCTTAGAATCAACTAACTCATATGCTTTATCATATACATTGGCATCTTGCAATATTTTATGTCAACTGTTTGAATATATCTTTAGTATGTAATACAGAACATTTTGCAAATATCAATGATCGGTCCTAAACTCATCATTGAACAGAATTCATTTTTATTAAACAACATAAGGATATCTGTGACATCATTCCGTCAGTCTGGGGCCCGGTGAATCGACTTTCAATGTCGATGAACCTTACTTGTAGGATAGTAAATAATATTATTCCAGGAAGGAGTATATAATGAATTTTATACCAAATGAAAGCTCGTCAAAAATGGGATTTATTAGTACTGAACAATAAAGATTTTGTGAACTTTGTAATGTTGATCTTCAGAAATTTCAC